CGGCCTTCGGAGACATGACAGGCCGGAGCTCCATGCACCTTGCCTTTTCCTAAGGTCCACGGGGACATTTTCTGGCCCCTGCGGCTAAGAAGGGTGTCTCTCAGTCCAGTGATGGCCCCTCTGTGTATTCCCCAGCGTGGAATAGCATTAAGAACCACATGGGGAGCATGTCTTCTCTGGGGAAGATGTGTCACCCCTCCTTCCATCATCTCATTTAATTTCACTCTAGGAAGAGGGCATTTTTACCCTTGACTTACAAGTAAAAAAAAAAAAATAACAAATGCAGAGGGGCAATCTCATTTGCCCAAGCGGCAGAGCTGGGGTTTGAACCAGCACCCTGTCCACGGCATTTCTGACTTAACTCGCATTTTCTCTCCAGCCCTGATGGCTACTGAGGCCCTCGCCTCTCCCCAGGCTGCTGCGCCTGAGAGGTCTGGGCAGGCACCCACTTTGAGGCTGAAAGACTTATTCCAGGAACAAGTTCGTTCCCAAATGGCTTTGCATTGGATGCTGCGATGCCCACAACAGCTTGTCCTCAACCAGGGAGTTACAGCTGCAGACCCTCCTGGTGCTGAGGGGCTGCCTGTAGACAGAGCCTGGGGCAGGTCTGGGGACCTCTGTTGTAACCACGTAACCAGAATCACCATTCACAGGCTACATAACTCCCGGGGTATCATTGGCTGAGTTGGGAATGGCGCTTCCTGGTTATGCAATGCACAACCCCTGCCACTGTGTCCAGCAGTCCTGCCAATTATTTGTTTCCTTCTGTTTTCATAGATCAAAGGAGGTTATGGCTGTTATCATTAAGTTCTGTCACATTCTGTATGTCCCTTTCCCAGATGATGAGCTACATCTTGAGACAAGGGAGGAAAACTTTCCCGTTATGAGCCCTCCCCTTGAGTGTGTGATAGGCTGTTGTCACCTAATCATGTTACCTTGTATGGCTATGGGGCCAGGACCCCACAGGGGCCTCAAGGAGCTGAGAGCAAGGAATGAGATTCTGCCGACAGCCTGAAGGAGCTTCAAAGTGGATCCATCCCCAGCTGAGCCACCAGATGAGAACTCAGCCCTGACTGCCACCTTGTGAGACCCTGGAGCTGAAGACCCAGCTGAGCCCTGCCTGGACTCCCGACCCATGGAAACCCTGAGATAACAAGCGTGTGTTGTTTTAAGCAACTGTATTTGCAGGAATTTGTCATACAGCAACAGAAACTTTCAGTGAGTTGTGCATGGGTGGAACCTGACTTCTGCCTCAGGAGAGAGAACACAAGAGGACGGGACACCCCTTTGGGGACCTTTGCCCTTTACAGGGACCCAGGGGCAAAGTTGGGAGTCCACCCTGAGGCAATGAGCTCACCTGCCAAGGGACCACACTGTGCCTCCATCCCCCCTGCCTGCTGACCCCCGCGGAAGCCCCTTTGGCAGGCAGCTGGGCACAGTGTGGGCAGGACATTTGTGGTGCTTCCTCACCTGGGGTGGAGAACAAGAGAGGTCGTTCTGGTCACCAGTGTCCTGCGACTGCCCTCTCACTGTGATTGGCAGTGAATCGAAGGAAGACTCTGCCCAGAGAGGGGAAGCTGCCCCTAAGCCTCTCTGAGGCTGCAGAGCTGGCCAGTGGTGTGCGCATCCCTGGGGAAACACGGGAGAGACAAAGGGGAAGGCGTGTGTCCAGTTCCTCTGTCTCCCATCCCCAGCCGACTCTCCTGGGCTCTGGGAGGCAGGCCAAGGTAGCACATGGAATTTAAGCCCGTTCTCAGATCCTGGGTTTGGTGCGCTGGAGCCAGTCTGCTCAGCCCCCACCCCAAATTTGGAATTTGCTCTGCAGCCAGGTCTCAGTCCCTGCCCCACCCAGCCCCGCTCTCAGGGCAAACACAGACTTCAGCCATGGGTCCTGGCTTCTGCCTGCTGCACCTGGACTTGGGCTCCTGGCAGGAGTCCGATGTGGCCCCAGAGACCAGACCTTCCCGCTGTCCGGGTCAGCGTGGTCTTGATGCACTGCTGACCCCCGCTCTACACCTGTGTCCTCTTCTCCCTCCCCTTAAGTTAGAGGAAAGCAGGGCTGCCTGCGGGCTGGTGGCAGACCCTGGCTCACTCCTACCAGGTGCGCTGACAGCCTGTGAACAGCTGCCAGAGCACCGCGCTAATAACATGGCATCACGTACTCTCCTCCCTTTCCAGTTACTTCTTCCTCTTCCTGATTTTCTTAAGTCCCAAGTCCCAGCTTGCTGCTGGTGCGGCTCCGCTGCGCTCACGGACTGGCCACTCTCCTTTCGGTGGACAAGTCCAGCCTCAGTCCCACAGCACCGAGCAGGCAACGGTGCCGAGGGATGCAGGGACAGTTCTGTGTTGTAACTGTGTGCATCTTTACAGTTAACTACTTTCCACTTTTGCTAAGTGATGCTGGGTGTTTTGGGGCATACGTGTGTGGTTTTTTAGGATCTTAGGTAAATTTTTTTTTTTTAGGATCTAGGTAAATTTTAAATGCATTGAGTTAGTGAGAATAACATTGTCATTGAAAGGGAAAGAAGCAGATACATAATAGCACAGGTGACTCAGGAGGAAATGATGTGATCGTGGAGGTGATGTGAGCGGGGCAGCCGAGATCCGGGTTTGAATCTTGCTCAGTGACCTGGGGCCCCGAGCCTTCCCTGCGCTTCAGTTTCTTCCACCAACAAAGGATAACACTGGGAGGACCTGATATGCACATAGTCACGAAGCCCTCAGCTGGTGCTGGCCTTCAGCACGTGCTGAGTGTTTGTGGAATAGAATTGACTGGAGTTTGGGAAGCCTGCACGTTGTGGCCTCCCAGCAGAACACATGGCACCCTTCCAGAGCTGTCAAAGGCCATTTCTTCGGGGACTTTCTGGCCCGAGTCGGAGCGGGACTGCCCCAGCATGAGACCCGCAGCCCCAGCTTTCCTCTGCCACTTGCTTCTCTTGTCCCCCGGACAGGACCTCAGCTCCTGGCAGGAGGAAGCGCACTGCGTGGCAGGGGGCTTGGACCAGTCAGTGACTATGAAAGAATGAATGAATGAATGAATGAAGTATGCGGAAAGCTCTGACTGTTCCGTGGCCATGCAGCTCTCTGGATGCTGTAGAAAGAGCCCTGAGCCTTCGAGCAGAAAGCGCCAGCCTCCAGCAGAAGTTCGCCGAAGTCAATCGCAGCTGAACTTGACCCCTTGGGAGGTGCACCACAAGGTGGACACAGTGGATCCATTGCCACATGTCAAGGAGACAGGTCCTACAGTCAGGGCCTAACTCAGTGTCCGCTTTCCTGACAGGCAACAAAATTAACTGGGCCTGCCGGTGGCAGCCGGATGGGCGCTGGTGGGCAGGGCCCCCCAGGGTCCGCCTGCACCCTGATGGTTGCCAGCCCAGGGCGGTGTGAGGGGTGCGGCTGGGCTGGGGTGAGGGCAGCTCCTGGGGCAGACACTGAGGTGAGGAGGCCATGGCTGTTCCTCTCGAGAGTGTACAGTGCTGGCAGCCAGGGCTTGGAAGGAACGATCCGCTTTCCGGGCCTTGCTGCCCTCCCAGAGTGGGCCGGAGCTCCTGATGCCAGGACACCCTCGATTTGGGCAGAGGCTTTGTTCCAGATAAGCACTCTGGCAAAGTGGGGTCATGCCGAAATGTCCTTCCTAAGGCCTTTGTCACTGGGGTGGTGTTGGTTCCCATAGAATTCCGACATCTGGTGAGATGGAGGGGCCGGGAGGGCCTCAGATGCCACCTCTGTCCCACCACCCAGGGACTTCTCACCGCATTCCCAGTGTCCAGCCAAATCCCCTCCCGTAGGCCTCGCCCTCCAGCCCTGCATTTGTCACAGGGAGTCCATTCACTCCTCCCACTTGCTGAAAGATAAGGCGGCAGGACCGGGACCTCACCACGCTGCTCCCCACCCACAGCCCGGCTGCCCTGTTTCCCTGGGGGCCCCTTCAATCTCAAGGGCCAGAATCCCTTGTAAATACCATACAGTTCAGCGGACTGTGCCCCATGTCATGGATGCGGGGGCTCAGTTGGGGGTCAGTACTGTCACTTCACCCCTCATGGCCTCAGTTTCCCATCGTAACATACAAATCAGGTCAGCTTCCTGTAAGGGTGGGTGTGAGGGTGAAAAGGCTCCCCAGATCAGCGCCCAGCCCATGGCAGGTGCTGAATGAACGGGCGCTCCACACGAGGCAGACTGGGCGTCAGCTCCTAGTGACGTGGCGTCACTCAGGGCTCTGGTTCTCCCTAGATCCTCACTCCATTCTCCATCTGACCCCGCTGGCCTGCTTCCAGAACGCTTCCCGCTCACTCCTTCACACTCCCTTGTGCTCCTTCCCTTCCAGACCCCACTTTCCAGCCTGATCATTGGATGGGAAACTGGCCCAGGCTAGAGGAGGGGTGGGGAGGGTCATTCCAAGCCACACGGTTGGTGGCAGGATTGGGCGGACACATCAGTCAAGACATGCTGTACCGAGAGCCCCCCTCTCCTCCGGGGCCGGCGAGGCCGAGGTTTGGGCCCACTCCTGCAGGAAGTCCATCACCCATTGATCTACCGAGTGGCTCTGCGGAGGGATGGCTGTCCACAGGGCAGAGGGCATTCTGGAGAGTTTCACATTGGTGATTAAGTTGTCCAGCTTGGAGGTGATGTTGGTCACTTTCCCCGACAACTCAACCAGAGCCAGGACAATCCTACCCCACACCCGGCAGTGCTGGGACCAGCGCTCCAGGCAGCCAAATCTCAGAGCCTGGGGTCCTGACTCCAGGCTGTCCCTGCTCTCTGGCATCCCTGAGCCATCTCCCTTTGTGAAGTAGGACCACAGCAGTGAAGGGATCTCCAAGTGCCCTCCTAGTCCTACATTCCGTGGCAACCAATTGACATGTGTTTCCGCAACCTGTCACATCTCTCTGACAGTTCCGACTCCTCCCCTCACCAGTCTGAGGGCCAAGCACCGGCACCTCTCTCAGCTTTAGCTTCCCTCTCTGTCCAGTGGGGACAGTAGGAACAGCCCTACATCCGGGGATCACAGTGAGGATAAAATGAGATAATACTTTCAAAGTGTCTAGCAGAAGGCCAGGAACAGAATAAGTGCTCACAAAATTGGAATGATAAGATCATTGTAAGTGCTCCGAAAATCCTTACTAGTGGTTACTGTTAGAATGAGTACCTACCACCACATGCATAAGTCCTTTGGCGATAGGTAGTATCGCCCCCATCTTTCTGATGAGAAAACTGAGGCATTGCAGGATTTGCCCAAGGCAGGTAGTTAGGACACAATCAAGATTTCAACCCTACGCTAGAAGATCTATGGGCACCCAGACCTGGATGGGGGAACTTAGCGGCTGGGTGGCAGAGATGAGACCTGTGTGTACCGATACCCAGAATAAGAGATGGAGAGTGAAGCCCTGACAGGCACAGTGCAGGGGTTGGGGGAGGAGACGCCGGAGCAGCATGTGTGCACTTCAGAGCAGCCGTGGAGGCCTGAATGCAAAGTCACTGCCAGGTGGCTCTAGGTGGAGATGCAGCCTTGGGTTTTAGAACGTGAGGTGAAGCCAGGCGCCCTCCCAGGATGGGTGAGGAGAGAGGAGATGCAGATACTCCAGCTGGACCAGTGACTCCAGGTGAATCCACGCTCCTTCCCTCCAGCCTCAGCTTTCTCCCCCGGGGACTTTGGGCAGTTCCCTCCCCTGGGAGACAAGAGAGCCCTTCGTGGGTGAGTGGCTTCCCAGAGGGTGTGACAGACCTGGGGTGGCCCCGAGATAGCCAAGTTGGCGTGTGGAATTTCCGAGGAAAGGAAGAGGGGGCTGTGCTGTGGAAGGTGCCCCACGGGTCTGAACACAGCCTCCCCGTTGACCCAGCAGGTGCTTGCAGACGACTGGCTTGCCAGGCACCAGCCCAAGAGCAGTGGGTGTGCGCCGCCAAGCCTGCGTGCGGCCCTGGCGCCCTCTGCCGGCTTCTCCCGGAGCAACAACTTAGCACCCAGCTTTCTCCAGCCGGCCCTTCTGGTGGGACAGAACTCCCAAGGAAACAGGTATTTATTTACTATCATGTGTTTATTTTTTAAAATTTCTGCCAGTAGGCCTTTAAGATTCTTGAGAATAAGATCTTGAGAACAAGACCGACCAATCCCACCTCCACCCCAGGGCTGAGAACCTTATGTTTTCTAGGGAGATTGGGGGGGGGCGGGGGGGGGAGTTCCGATATTTAAAAACACTCAAAGGAGGATTCTATTACAGGGCCATCACTGCCCGGACGAGTTTCCTGTGGCTGCCATAAGAAAGCACCACAGACAGTGTGCTGGTTTAAAAAAACAGAAATCTGTTTTTTGTTTTTGTTTTTGTTTTTGTTTTTGTTTTTCCAATTCTGGAGGTTGCAAATACAAAATCAAGGTGTCAGCAGGGCCGTGCTCCCTTTGAAGGCTCCTGGGAGGATCCTTTCTCTTCTCTTTCAGCTTCTGGTGGCTGCCAGCAGCCCTTGGCTTGTGGATGCATCACTCTACTCTCTGCCCCTGTGATCAAATGGCCTTTTCCCCCGTGTGTCTGTGTCTCCAAATCTCCCTCCCTAGAATGCTTCCAGTCATTACATTAGGGTCCACTAATTAACCAGTTACATCTGCAAAGACCCTGTTTCCAAATAAAGTGACACTCCCAGGTTCCAGGATTTAGGACTTCAACATATCTCTTTGGGGGACACAGTTCTCCCCACAGCACTGCCCATATAGCATCTTTGTTCAAGTCACATAAAGACACCCCCTCCTGAAGGCAGGCATGGCTGCAATAGTCATGCACAGGCTGGGTCTGAGCACCTCACTCACCCCTGAGCCGGGCACGCTTGCACAGTTAACAACCTGCACAACTGTAAGCAGCAGCCCTATTCTGGAAACTCTCGTTTAAAAGCTAAGCATCCATCCCAGGTAGAAGGTCCACTTCAACCTGGGCCAAAGGTGCCCAGAGCTCAAAGGAGGGGCCTGAGTGGCCTCACCCCGAGGGGTGGGGTGGCGAGGCAGGGCCTGCAGCAGGCGAGGCCGTAAGTGATGCATTATCTGCAGGGAATTTAAGAACAGCAACAAGGCTGACCTAAAAGTTGGTCTGTTTCTTATTATCACCATGCATCCACTATTTTAAACAATGTCAGTCATGAAACTCTCCTCCTCCACCCAAATCTGCTGGTTTAAGTTCCAAACAACTGCTGTTATCATTGACTTGTCATCACATACGGAAGCTTCAGACCAGCACACACTCATTACTCACCTTTTCACAAACACCGTGGCCTGCTGGAAGTTATCCAGAGAGCTGCAAGTTAGCAGCTGGACCCGACATACACATTCATCTTGAGCTGGTGAGGTTTGGGGACCACTGGCGATCACAGCCCCAGTAAGATCAGAGACAGCTGAGACCAGTGGTAAAATCAATGTCCATCCTGAAAGCAGAGTGACTGTAAAGACAAAGACAGATCTCAGGCTCCTTCAAACCTGCTGTGCTGCTGGACACTGGGAGTGTTTATTCGTTTGTAAGCCTTACAACAATGAAATGGAGAGCCAAGTGTGAGATGTGACAGGTCTGTATCCTGAATGTGGTGGTTACTACGCAGGTGATAAAACGGCAAAGGAACAACACACGTGGACCAACATCAACTTCTTGCTTTTGATTTTGATTCACTGTAGTTAATCTAAGATGCCACTAGGGGAGCAGGGTGGAGGGTATCCAGGGACCTCTCTCTATCACCTTTGCAACTTCCTCTGAATCTATAATATAGCTCAAAATAAAAAGTTAGAAAAGTTAAAAAGAACAATGAAACGCTGCAGAACACAAGGTGGAATCATTTTGTGAATGCAACTTTATTTTGTACATGAGATATTTTACTTAATTTGAATATCTTTTAAATTGAAAGTTTTTATGTTTTTTTTAAAGTGTATTGCTATGTCAGCTGAAAACTCGACCCACCTCAAAAAAGACATTAAAATAAATTAAAAATTTTAATCCATTCAAGTTTTTCTGGTTTGTACTATAATGATTTTGGGGGGGGGCTTGAAGTTATATAAAAGTTTGCTGTCTGAGTTCCTTTTATGTCACATGACGACTGTAATTCATGTCATTTAGTGATGATTACTGGAAAGAGTGCTACATAATGATCCACTCAGTTGTTTGATTTGCCCAGGACGGCGCTGGGCCCAACTGACCCTGTTAACCCGAATCATCTTCTCCCAGCACCAGAGTCTGACCCCGGCTCTGCTCAGAGACTTCGGCTCTGACTTGTCTGCACGTCTCCGCTCTCAGGAGCTGCCAGGTAAACACAAGTGCACATTAGCCCCAGAATCCTCAAGGACAGGCTGGCTCTGCATTTGGTTCTTTAAAGGAAACAGTTTAAGGATCTTTTTGCCCCACCAAAGACTAAAATTGCACAATTCAGGGGTTATAACACCTACCTCTTAAGGGATGACTCTTGGTCACTTGGGACCCGCCACACATGGACATCTGGGAAGAAGCAGGCCCAGGAGGACCTCCCGGGCTGGGTCTTCCTGGGTCAGGCCGGCGGATGGGGTCCTCGGAAGCAGCCCTGGACCGCGCAGGCTGGTACCCAGGATGTGGTGCTCCGTGCATGGGCCTTATCTCTCAAGAGATCCATGGACACCTGTCCCTGTGCTTGGGCACATCTGCGTCCCTGCATCCTCACCACTGCACACACGTCACTGCTCTCTGCTGCCTTCTACACAGCTTTAGGGCACTGGCCTTGCAGACCCCACTGCCATTTCACCTCTGGGCCTCTGTCTCCCTCTCTGTGACAGAAAGGCTGGATTGGACAGTTCCAGAGTCTCCCACCAGCTCTGACATCATCATTGTCCCAGCTCTCACTGCCCAGGACCTATTTCTCCATGTGGCTACTCAAGCTATGAGCCACCTACCCCTCAACAGCCCTAGGGGTTTGACATGATTGTCTTCTCTTTACGGAGGTTCAGCAAAACTTGCCTGGTAACTTGCCTGGTTTACTCTGTAATAAGTGGCAGAGCTGGCACTTGAACTTGAGCGTACTGTCAAAGCCCTCTGATCACTAGTCCAATCCATCGGAGGCAGAAGGGAGCCTCTCTGGACCAACTGCCCACTGGTAAAAGTGAATGCCTGCTGTGGGGGTGAGAACCCTGTCATTCGTGGTGTTCAGGCAGAGAAAGGTTGATTTGCCAGGAAAGTTACAGAAGGCCAGGTAGAGGGTTGGTTAGGATCCACATGCTTCAGTGGTAGCATCTTATTAGTGTAGTGTTTCCAGTTTTGGGAAGTGCCCCAAATAGTTTATTCTTATTGATCTGTGAATAAGTTATATTTATATAATTAAATTTAAAATTCCTGCTTTAATATGAAAGAGTGGAAATTCAAGGTTATACCTGCAACAATGCCGTTCTCAATCCCCTGCCTTCCAACATGCTTTCCTGAGCGGGGAGAGGAAGGGACGGAGTCCCAGCCCTGGGTGTGCGCAGAGGAGCAGGTCCACGGTAAACCTTATCTACACCACGTATGCAACAAAAACCATTACTCTAAGGTGCCTTAAATGTCCCTCCAATCTGGAGACACCAGATCCCTTGATCGCACCCTGACATTCTCACAGCCCACACTGGGATGGTAATTGCCAGGAGCACCAGCCATATGCCTGGTAAATTCCAGGAATTCTGACAGCCCCAGAAAGTGCCCAGCAGAGGGTTCCTTGGCCCCTTTTCACTGGAATGTTTCATCATCCTGGGACTGGTGTTCTCTGGCAAAGGTCTTAGTGTCTTCCCCTCCTGGTTCTGTTTCTACTTCCCATGTTTCAGTAGTACTTTTGAATGTATAACCTGTTTCTAATGATTACAACATTACTATTTGCTTTAATTTAAGAGGATAGAAATTATTTCAAGCATCTTTTCTGACCACAATGCCATGAAACTAGAAATCAACCACAGAAAAACAAAGGAGAGAAAAATGACAGCATGGAGATTAAACAACATGTTACTATAAAACCAGTGGGTGAATGATGACATCAAAAAAGAAATTAAAAAATACTTTGAGACAACGACAATGAAAACACAACCACACAAAATCCATGGGGTGCAGCAAAAGCAGTCCTAAGGGGGACGCTCATAGCAATGAAGGCCTTCCTCAAAAAAGAACAATCTCAAATAAACAATCTAACCTACCATCTAAAAGAATTATAAAAAGAAGAGCAAAGCCAAAAGTCAGCAGAAGGAAGGAAATAATAAAGATCAGGGAGGAAATAAATAAAATATAGATGAAAAAACAATAGAAGTCAATCAAACCAAGAGCTGGTTTTTTGAAGGTCTAAACAAAATTGACAAACCTCTGGCCAGGCTCACCAAGAAGAGAGAGAACACAAGTAAACAAAATAAGAAAGGAAAATGGAGCGATTACAACCAATACTACAGAAATGCAAAACAAGTAAACTTCAAGAGTTCTGTGGCTTTACCCACCTGCAATTTCTTTCTCATTCACATGCCCGTCTGATGGGGCTGTGCCTGGTCTGTGGACAGTGTTTCTTTCTCCATGCAGTGACTCAGGGATCTAGGCTCCTTCCATCTCGCAGCTCCTCTATCCTCTGGGGTCCCTGGGTCCTCTCTGTCTAGACAGTGGGGACAAGTTATGTGCTGAATTGTATCCCTTGTGACACTTGATTTTTCTGCCCAGTGTTTAGTCTGTTTTGATGAATGTTGTACACGCACTTGCACACAACGTGTATAACGCCGTTGTGGGTGGGCATTCTGTAAGTGTCAATTACCTCAAGCTGGTCAATGTCGTTGCTGATTTTTTTGAGTCAGTTTTTCCTCTCAGAGACAAATGTTTAAATCTCCAGCTAATCATGAGGACTTGTCTTTTTCTCCTGTTTTGTTCTACCAGTTTTGCTTCATGTATTTTGAAGCTCTGTTGTTAGATGCCCATCCATTTAAGATTAAGTCTTTTTGAAGAATCAACTCCCTTATCATTATGATTTGCCCTTCATCATTTGGGTCAATATTCCTTGTTCTGAAATCTACTTTGTCTAATGTCAATATAGCCACTCTAGGTTTCATTTGGTTAGAGTTTGCACTGTATATCTTTTACAAGTTTTTAACTTTCAGCCTGTATGATATTTTTTTAATTGGGATATAATTGACATGTAACATTATATTAGCTTCAAGTGTGCAGCATAATGATTTGAAATTTGTATATATTGTGAAATTATCACCACAATAAGTCTAGTTAACATCCATCACCACACAGTCACAAAAGTTTTTTTCCTGAGAGTTTTTAAGATCTACTCTTAGCAACTTTCAAATGTAAAATAGAGTATTATGAACTATAGTCACCAGGCCATACATTACATCCCCAAGGCTTATTTATTTTATAACTGGAAGTTTTTACTGTTTGACCACTTCACCCATTTTACCCACCCCATATCCCACACCTCTGGCAACCACCAGTCTGTTCTCTGAATCTATGAGTTGGTGTTTTGTTTTGTTTTACTTTAGATCCCACATATAAGTGATATCATAAAGTATTTGTTTTTCTCTGTCAGATAGATAGGTAGATAGATAGATAGATAGCATCTTTTTTATCCATTCATCCATCAGTGGGCACTTACGTTTTTTCCATGTCTTGCCAATTGTAACTTGTGCTGCAGTGAACATGGGGGTATGTTTATCTTTTCAAGTTTGTATTTTTGTTTCCTTCAGATATATACCCAGAAGTGGAATTTCTGGATCATATGGTAGTTCTATTTTTATTTTTTGAGGACTCTCCATACTGTTTTCCATAGTGGCTGCACCAAATTACATTCACACCAACAGTGCACCAGTGTTCTCTTTTACCCACAGCCTTGTCTGCATTTGTTCTCGCTCATCTTTTTGATGATAGCCATTCTAACAGTAGACAAATGCAGCAGCAAACCAATCGCTTTAGCAGAATATTGTCTTCATTGCATGTGTAGTTTGAATACAGATTCCCAATCTATGGCTGAATTTCTTCTAGTATGATCAAAAGTTTATTCTTTCTTTGCTCTGAGTAAAATTAAACAGTGAGTTCTCTATTAAAAAAATAAACAAGTGTGAGGTATTATCTTACTGTGGTTTTGATTTACATTTCCTCTAACTATCAGTGATGTTGAGCATCTTTTCATGTACCTGTTGGCCATCTGTATGTCTTCTTTGGAAAAATGTCTGTTCAGAGTCTCTGCTCATTTTTCAGTCAAATTGTTTGGGTTCTTGTTGCTGTTGTTATTGAGTTGTAGGTGTTCTTTTTGTATTTTGGCTATTAACCCCTTATCAGATATGCGATTTGCAAATATTTTCTCCCATTCAGAAGGCTGAGTTTTCATTTTGGTGATGGTTTCCTTTGCTATGCAGAAGATTTTTAGTTTGATGTAGTCCCATTGTTTATTTTTAACTATTGCTGCCTTTGCTTTTGGTGTCAAATCCAAAAAACCATCACCAAGACCATGTCAGGGAGTTTACTGCTTGTATTTTCTTTTAGGAATATTATGGTTCCTGGTCTTACATTCACATCTCTAATCCATTGAGTCAATTTTTGTGTATAATGTAAGGTAGTGATCCAGTTTCATTGTTTTGCATGTGGTTGTGCAGTTTTCCCAACACCATTTTTTAAGAGACTGTCCTTTCCCCATTGTATATTCTTGGTTGTTTTTTCGTAAATTAATTGACCATATTTGCATAAGTTTATTTCTCTGTTCTGTTCTGTGTAGCTGTGTGTCTGTTTTTATGCCAATACCATACTGTTTTGATTACTATAGTCTTGTAATATAGTTT